TGACATCTTTATAACACATGGACATGACATCTTTATAACACATGGACACGACATCTTTATAACACATGGACATGACATCTTTATAACACATGGACATGACATCTTTATAACACATGAACATGACATCTTTATAACACATGGACAAGATAGCTTTATAACACATGGACATGACATCTTTATAACACATGGACATGACATCTTTATAACACATGGACATGACATCATTATAACACATGGACATGAAATCTTTATAACACATGGACAAGATAGCTTTATAACACATGGACATGACATCATTATAACACATGGACATGACATCTTTATAACACATGGACATGACATCTTTATAACACATGGACAAGATAGCTTTATAACACATGGACAAGGTAGCTTTATAACACATGGACATGACATCATTATAACACATGGACATGGCATCTTTATAACACATGGACGTGATATCTTTATAACAAGCGTATGAAGTCATGGTATCCGCCTGTCCACAGGAGTCCATGAAACTGATGGGGCTCAACGAGTCGGTGTACTGGCTCTCCTGGTGCATCTCGTCCTTCTTGTCCGGTCTCATCGTCTGCATATGCGCAATGATTGTCATGACGCGTCGGTACCCGAAGGGATACGTTTGGTCGTCTCCGGCGTCCATCGTCTTGACGCTAGAGCTGCTCTTTCTTCTGGACACCATCACCGCCGCCTTCCTCTTGTCCTGTCTCATCAACAAAGGTTGGCCTTCGTTTTCTTTCGTCGTCTTTTATCATCATCGGATGAACTTTCGTCGTCTTTTATCATCATCGGTTGAACTTTATTTCCTGTTGACCTGTTTCATACTGCCTATATTTTATTGAAACGTTCATCCACATACAACAAAATAAAAAACAACACAATATAACAACACAATCAAACACAAGAAAGTAAAACACAACAAAGTAAAACAGCACAAAAACAAAACAAAGTAAAGTAAAAGACAAGACAATTAAAGGCATGATAATATAACACAACTTAACCAACAACTATGCATGACCACGAATTTATATTTACTGTTACGTTTGGCTTGGCCTTGCAGGTAGAAACGCCTCAATCATAGCCATCATCCTGTACCTTGTCCTAGAAAATAGCGCCTCCCCTCTGATAGCGTGGGTCGTGGACCAAAGGCTGCTGCTCTATCTTGTGGGGACGGTCACCTACGGTCTCGGCTTCTTCCTGGCTATCGACGTGGTCTTTCAGAAGGAGGTCAAAGGTCAGCTCACAGCAAGCTTGCAATAAACTAGTGTCATCGCTATATTGCTGAAGTGTACAGACGTAGTTAATGCTGTATTAGTTCACAAGCTGTTACATCATCATCATCACCATCATTCCTGTGGAGCATAGGGAAGCTACCACATTTCTCCATTGTTCTGGGTTCTGGGCGATTCCTCAAATTTGGGCCCGTTTCTGCTTCTGAGTTTTTCCAAGTTTGTTTTGGCCTACCTACTTTCTTCTTTCCTTGGAGATTCCAATATATTTAACGTTGCTGTATTTTGGAAAGCGTAGCTCCACCTCCACCAAATGTCCTCCGCAGGTTACACGTTAGACTGGGACAACATACACCGCAACTACCAGCAGCCGAGCCAAACCTTCCAGGACGGCCTGGTGCTGATAGCGCTAAACATCCTCTTCAACCTCTTCTGCTGCTGGTACTTCACGAACATCTGCCCCGGGGAGTACGGCATACGGAGACCGTTTTATTTTTTCTTAATGGTAACTTCATTCTCTTTTCTACCGTTTCAAACCGTTACTTTATATGAATATTGTTGAATTTATGTTGTTTTATTTTATACAATGCATTTTGACTTTATCTTGATTGAATTCTCGTTAGTTGGAAGGCCAAAAGCAATGGATTTTATGTGTAAACAAAAAATGTTCTCTAATCGAGAAAAAAGCCGCATGTAGTAGCTGAAAGCTTTTGTCGCCATTTGTACTTCTAAAATATAAAAACTTTTCAGTGGGCTCGAAACAGCGAATGTATTAAACTTTACACATTTTCTCCATTTTCTAACAGTTTTCTTATTGGTTCCCATCATCGAAAAACGACGATGACCCTCCGGAAATTTCTCCGGATAATCCGGAATTTTTCGAGACCCCGCCTGCAGAACTGAACCCAGGTATTAAAGTCCGAAACCTAGTCAAGGTAAGGCTCACACTGGGACCTTTTCAGTACTAGAACAGGGGAAGTAGAGTGCTGGGGAAACTACACAAACAGGGGAGTACACTGCTGGGGAAACTACACGAATAGGGGAGTACACTGCTGGGGAAACTACACGAATAGGGGAGTACACTGCTGGGGAAACTACATGAACAGGGGAGTACACTGCTGGGGAAACTACACGAATAGGGGAGTACACTGCTGGGGAAACTACACGAACAGGGGAGTACACTGCTGGGGAAACTACACAAACAGGGGAGTACACTGCTGGGGAAACTACACGAATAGGGGAGTACACTGCTGGGGAAACTACACAAACAGGGGAGTACACTGCTGGGGAAACTACACGAACAGGGGAGTACACTGCTGGGGAAACTACGCGAACAGGGGAGTACACTGCTGGGGAAACTACACAAACAGGGGAGTACACTGCTGGGGAAACTACACGAACAGGGGAGTACACTGCTGGGGAAACTACATGAACAGGGGAGTACACTGCTGGGGAAACTACACAAACAGGGGAGTACACTGCTGGGGAAACTACACAAACAGGGGAGTACACTGCTGGGGAAACTACACGAACAGGGGAGTACACTGCTGGGGAAACTACACGAACAGGGGAGTACACTGCTGGGGAAACTACACGAACAGGGGAGTACACTGCTGGGGAAACTACATGAACAGGGGAGTACACTGCTGTGGAAACTTCACGAACAAACTGAAAGATATTGGCCACAGAGATTTGGGTTACTGATAATTTGTAGAAGATTCGCCGATAAAATATCAGCAGTTACATTCCGGCACAACCCCCTCTCACCCATTTATATATCTTCATTCACGTTGGCGAAAAAAATCGCCCCCGCCCCAGGTATCCACTTGGATAGGTCAGGGGGGGGGGACGCTTTTAAGCAGTCAGTATCCCTTAACTTATTAAGGTCGGCACTGGGGGCGGCCTCCCAACCCGCCCTCACCTGGCTACGCCTTTGGCCAAGTCCACGCCAGACATGGAGAACAATCCATCTCCCCCACCCCCAGAGATGGTACAGGCTTAATACATCTCCCCCACCCCCAGAGATGGTACAGGCTTAATACATCTCACCCACCCCCAGAGATGGTAAAGACTTGATACATCTCCCCACCCCCAGAGATGGTACAGGCTTAATACATCTCCCCCACCCCCAGAGATGGGACCGGCTTAATACATCTCCCCCACCCCCAGAGATGGGACAGGCTTAATACATCTCCTCCACCCCCAGAGATGGTACAGGCTTAATACATCTCCCCCACCCCCAGAGATGGGACAAGCTTTGTACCCCCCCTCCTGTGCTGGGACCGTGTAAATACATCTGGTGCATATTTTTTTACCTAAGGGTAATGGACAATGACTGAGGGTAAGGTAATTGGTAGGCGGTAATATCCTAGACCAACTATTGCGGCTATGGTATGTCAAGAGTGACATGGTAGCCGGTAATATTCTAGCCAACCATTGCGGCTATGGTATGTCAAGAGTGACGTGGTAGGCGGTAATATCCTAGACCAACCATTGCGTTTGTGGTATGTGAAGACTGACATGGTAGGCGGTAATATCTTTACCGAACATTACTGGTGAGGTATGTCAAGAGTGAAAAAGTTCCCAATAACCCTGAGTAATCCTACAGATGTTTGGCAAACATGTCGCAGTGGCTGGCACAAATCTGGACCTGTACGAGGGGCAGATCACCGCTTTGTTGGGTCACAACGGGGCAGGGAAGACAACTACCATCAACATGATCACAGGTCGGTTGCTCCTAATCAAGTAACTTCCTTTTTAAATAATTAATAACCACATCTGTTACGTCTGGGTTTTATTCGATGCAGAAAACGATCAGTGAAAATGTTCAATACTTTATTTGTTCTCATCTTTGCACAAAAGCCCTCGTCCATACCACTACTAACTAAAGGTCCCTTGCAATCATTCACTCCAGCTTTTATACCCGCACTCGACCTTGGGATAATAAAACCTAAACACCACGGGGTTAACTCGCACACACCCCTCCCCTAGGTTCTGGACAATCCTAGCCTATACTTATCTAACCTACAACTGACCGGTAACAACACCATCACTTGATTTAATGGGTTTTTTAAAAATGACCTTGACCTCACTAGGATTTATACCAGCGACAAGCGGCACTGTGATCATTCAGGGACTTGACCTGGTCAAGAATACCGAGGCAGCACGCAAATGTATCGGTCTCTGCCCGCAACACGATGTACTCTTCCAGAAACTCACATGTAGGGAACATCTAATATTCGTTCTCAAGGTAAATCTCCATGCTATAGGCGCTAAACTATACCAACAGCTTCTCTATTTTATCTCAAGGTAAATCTTCATCTTCTCTGTTTTATAATGCAAATCTTTTATACACAGGTTATGTTGAAATACAACTTGCAAAATTAGGAATGTGGATCATATCCTTACGTCACAAATATAATGCGTCATTCAAAATCCCGGCTGTCATTAAAATTATTCACTTGCTCGTCGTTTTTAATTGTAATGTTGGCAGGGATTTCCTCCAACACAAGTCTTACGTGTCAACTTGTTATAATGCCATTGACCAGCTGAGACCTTTATACAAGGACAATGGAGTTAAAGACTGTGCCCCGAAAACGGCTACCTTGTGCACGGGCCGATTATCGGAGAAGAGAAGTCGACCCCCTGCACGTCCCTAGCATGTTGGTCATCAAATGGCACACTGGTTACCATGGTTACCGTTACCTTTCTAATAAAGTGTTCCCCTTTTGGTTCCTGTAGCTTAAAGGACAGATGACTCGCCACAATGAGAACGAAATCGATGAACTGCTGGACACCATCAAACTATGGGACAAAAGGAAGTCTTACCCCACGCAGATATCTGGTGGACAGAAGAGGAAGCTGTCGTTAGCTTGTGCTTTTATTGGGGGTACTAAGGTAAGGCCACACGTAATTATAGACCATCTCCACTGTATTCTACACAAACATTAGGGTACTAAGGTAAGGCCACAGGTAACTAAGACCATCTCCACTGTATTCTACACAGACATTAGGGTACTAAGGTAAGGCCACACGTAACTATAGACCATCTCCACTGTATTCTACACAAACATTAGGGTACTAAGTTACCACATGTAACTATAGACCATCTCCACTGTATTCTACACAAACATTAGGGTACTAAGGTAAAGCCACACGTAATTATAGACCATCTCCACTGTATTCTACACAAACATTAGGGTACTAAGGTAAGGCCACACGTAACTATAGACCATCTCCACTGTATTCTACACAAACATTAGGGTACTAAGTTACCACATGTAACTATAGACCATCTCCACTGTATTCTACACAAACATTAGGGTACTAAGGTAAGGCCACATGTAATTATAGACCATCTCCACTGTATTCTACACAAACATTAGGGTACTAAGTTACCACATGTAACTATAGACCATCTCCACTGTATTCTACACAAACATTAGGGTACTAAGTTACCACATGTAATTATAGACCATCTCCACTGTATTCTACACAAACATTAGGGTACTAAGTTACCACATGTAATTATAGACCATCTCCACTGTATTCTACACAAACATTAGTGTACTAAGGTAAGGCCACATGTAATTATAGACCATCTCCACTGTATTCTACACAAACATTAGGGTACTAAGTTACCACATGTAACTATAGACCATCTCCACTGTATTCTACACAAACATTAGGGTACTAAGTTACCACATGTAACTATAGACCATCTCCACTGTATTCTACACAAACATTAGGGTACTAAGTAAGGCCATATGTAACTATAGACCATTTTCACTATAGTTTACACAACCATTAAGAGATGCCTGAAAGAAAGTCGGAATGTATGTACTTTTGTTCGCTGTATTCAATTTGTCACATGCTTGCTAGGCTATTCAAAATTTCCAGAAGCTCAATGCCAATTAAAAAATTAATATGTTATAAAAATTGCTATAAAAATATTATTAAGTTGTTTTAATGCATATAATATAAAGTATGCGCCGAAAGATAAAAAAAAAAATACACAGGTCATATTTTTGGACGAGCCATCGACCGGCCTTGACCCCGCCGCCAGACAGGAAATGTGGGCTTTCCTAAAGAAAATGAGAGAAGGTCGAACCATCCTTTTAACGACCCATTACATGGACGAGGCAGATGTACTGGGCGACAGAATCGCCATCATGGCGGAGGGGAGAGTTAAATGCTGCGGCACACCCATGTTTTTAAAGAGAGTTTATGGTGAGTAAATTAGATGGTTCAGTGTTGTAGCACACCCATGTTTTTAAAGAGAGTTTATGGTGAGTAAATTAGATGGTTCAGTGTTGTAGCACACTCATGTTTTTAAAGAGAGTTTATGGTGAGTAAATTAGATGGTTCAGTGTTGTAGCACACCCATGTTTTTAGAGAGGGTTTATGGTGAGTAAATTAGATGGTTCAGTGTTGTAGCACATCCATGTTTTTAAAGAGAGTTTATGGTGAGTAAATTAGATGGTTCAGTGTTGTAACACACCCATGTTTTTAAAGAGAGTTTATGGTGAGTAAATTAGATGGTTCAGTGTTGTAGCACACCCAATAACTTTAAAGAGATATTAGAACGTTGGTAAGTCTCGATGAAGACATTAACGTACTTTATTTCCAAAGTTTAAAGGATAAAGTGAAAATTGTTTCTTAACTTTACTTGCTCGTATACAGTGTCTAAATGGAAGTTTTGTAATCGTGCAGAATAATTCATTGAGATTCTGACAGTTTGAATTAGCTTTTTGCACAACTACAATACATCCATTGTATCATGTTTAAAATAAAGAGATGTATTGTAGTTGTGCAAAAAGCTAATTCAAAATTTTGACATATTTTAACCATTTAAAGAATTCCGAAGCCACACAATCTTCCTTCTGCTATTTTATCTGTCTGTAGGTGTGTATGCTATCACGATACGTTGAATATCGTTTAATTAGGTAGACTAAATTTCATTTACAAGTAAAAGGTCGGATAATTTAATTACTTTCATTTTTTGTGTGATCTCCCATAAGCGGAAAGGGGTCTCTTTATTTTATGTTTCTGAAATAAAGATAGCTTGAGTACCGTTTCAGTTAGGGATACAAAGTTTCATACATAACCTATTCTTTCGTTTCTCTCAAATTTTAAGATTTCCGGTCACCGGAATTAGTACTTTACGCTATTTCTGATTTCTCAACAACAACAAAAACCAAAAAAACAAACACATAATTTTGATTATTTTAATCGCTTTTAGTTCGAAATAATTTTTCCTACTGTAAAACAAGTTTTGGTTTCCCCAGGCACCGGCTACGGGCTTCGAGTTGTCAAGGACAAGAATTGTCAAACAGAGCTAGTCACAGCTGAGGTTTTAAAACACATCCCTGAAGCTAGATACGTTGTGAGTTTTATGATTTACATTTAGTCACAGCTGAGGTTTTAAAACACATCCCTGAAGCTAGATACGTTGTAAGTTTTATGATTTACATTTAGTCACAGCTGAGGTTTTAAAACACATCCCTGAAGCTAGATACGTTGTGAGTTTTATGATTTACATTTAGTCACAGCTGAGGTTTTAAAACACATCCCTGAAGCTAGATACGTTGTGAGTTTTATGATTTACATTTAGTCACAGCTGAGGTTTTAAAACACATCCCTGAAGCTAGATACGTTGTAAGTTTTATGATTTACATTTAGTCACAGCTGAGGTTTTAAAACACATCCCTGAAGCTAGATACGTTGTGAGTTTTATGATTTACATTTAGTCACAGCTGAGGTTTTAAAACACATCCCTGAAGCTAGATACGTTGTGAGTTTTATGATTTACATTTAGTCACAGTTGAGATTTTAAAACACATCACTGAAGCCAATTTTGTTGTAAGTTTTAAAGATAAGCAAAATAAAGTTAAAAAATAGAGAGTGGTCTGAAGTTTGGTGTTACAGTAAAGTGTAGCTGGCAGTTGCTATCTTATTTAGCTTTAAAGGCAGAATTTATCATCTTTTGAAATCAAGTATATGCAAATTGGGCTAATTTATTTTAATTATTGAACATTTTTAAAGCTAACATCCATTGAATAATAGAGTTGGTCTAGTTTTATTATAAATAAATATGAATTCATGTAGGATATATATATATATATATATATATATATATATATATATATATATGGATTATTGACATAAGTTTTGTTCTAACTAGGCAGAAACAAACTTAGAGGTGGACTACGCTTTGCCAGACAAACTAGAAGAGAAGTATCCCGCGCTACTAAAAGCTCTGGAGGATGACGCACAACAACTTCAAATCTCGGGCTTTGGTTTGAGTGCTACAACATTGGAAGATGTCTTTATAAAGTAAGGAAGGAACGATATTTGACTTGATGACACAATATATTTAACTTGATGACACAATATATTTGACTTGATGACACAAGACATTTGACTTGATGACACAAGAAATTTAACTTTATAATATTAGGCATTGGACTAAATTTCTTAAAAGAAATTTTATTTAAAGACAGGCCTAAACGGTATTCTACTTGATGAAACTTCAGCGTTTTATGCCTGATTTGTGACGATAAATACACTTATTTTTTAGATAGCCCTATAGATTTTGTCTCTAAGATATTTAATACGTCAGCTTCATTTCTCGTCAGCTATTTTATCCTGAGATATTTTTCCTTAGATTATTCGTCTTGAAACACACGCACACAGTCATATAGGACTATATATATTAATATATATATATATATATATATATATATATATATATATATATATATATATATATAATCGCGATAAATATTTCTTGCCCATACAGAGTAGGATCAGAATTACCCGACATTACGACTGATGCTAATCCACAATCGTAAGTTACATGAAAATATTCTGTAAAGTTAAACATCAATATTCTGTAATGTGTGAACCTAACCCTAAAGAGTAAGGTAAACATCAACATTCTGTAATGTTTGATAACACAGCCAAAGTAAAATATGAACATTATGTAAAGAATTCTGTAATGCTTGATGCTAAGCTACAAGGCTAAGTTGAGCATAAAAATTCTGCTTAACTTAAACATCGAAACTTAACACCAAAAGCGTTTCTTATTCTTAAAATAATCATTTACTCCTGTTTATTCCTGACTCCACTATTTGATGTTTGTATTATGAATTAATTTGTATACGTTGCTACTAGAATATTCTTCTCTTTTAAAGAATTGTTATTATCCACCTATTTTTGTTTAAACCACGCATGTTTACAAACACCAACATTAAGCATTTATTGTTTACTTGTTTACCAACAGGAATCCACAGGAAATGCTTGTTGCTACAGAAACAAATGGTAAGTACATCCTACGGTTGCTTCATAGTAAATAATTGAACGGGTAGTTTCTGTTTTCACTAGTAGAACTTTCAAGCATCGTATTAATTCTTTGTTGGCAGATAGTAGAACTTTCAAGCATCGTATGAATTCTTTGCTGGCCGATAGTAGATCTTTCAAGCATCGTATAAATTCTTTGTTGGCCGATAGTAGATCTTTCAAGCATCGTATGAATTCTTTGTTGGCCGATAGTAGAACTTTCAAGCATCGTATAAATTCTTTGTTGGCAGATAGTAGAACTTTCAAGCATCGTATAAATTCTTTGTTGGCAGATAGTAGATCTTTCAAGCACCATGTTGGCCTATTTTAGGTTGGTCAGAATAAAGCATTGAGCCTTCACACAGGACTATTTATCAGTAGAACTTATTGGCTAACAGACACAAATGTGCTATTCGTATCCACGATGAGCCAGCATTTTACAATGTTAACATGCTACATAGACGTTAGAAATACTTTGACTCCCCAGAGATCTTACATTGTTGACATGTTATACAGATATCAATACTTTGACTCCCCAGAGATCTTACCTTGTTGTCATGTTATGCAGATAGAAATACTTTGACTCCTCATGTTATGCAGATAGAAATACTTTGACTCCCCATGTTATGCAGATAGAAATACTTTGACTCCCCATGTTATGCAGATAGAAATACTTTGACTCCCCAGAGATCTTACATTGTTGACATGTTATGCAGATAGAAATACTTTGACTCCCCAGAGGGCTCTGAGAGCGACCTCATCTATCAAAAGTTTATGGAGGGCAGAAGCAGGAACCGTCTGGAGCTATTCTCCCAGCAGCTGAGGGGAACGTTCGTCAAGAAGTGGCTCCTGTTCCAGCGGAACATCTTCCTCTCCCTCAACATGCTCGTCCTGCCCTCGCTGCTCGTCCTCATCGGACTTCAAGCCGACTTCAGGAGAACAGGCTCCGGCCACACCAACATGCCGCCCCTGTCCTTCAACTTTGACCTTTTTTGTGACATAGTCATCCCGCTGAGGACGACTGAAGGTAAAAACAATCCGTTAGTGGACGCAATAAAACGTCAGTCGCCGTCTACAGAGTTTCTGGAAATACAAACGGTAAATCATTTCAGTTTCTAAAAGTGTGCCAATTTTTATCGCTATCTACTGGGTATGCTTCATGTTGTCGATGAATTCAATGGCTATTTTACCCTACTAAATAGATCTGTATTGCAAAGTCTCGAACCATCCGGGATCCCCCCAACACTAAAATTAAGAACGAAGAAGAAGAAGAGAGAATTCCCTTAATCGTGTTTGTATATTCTTATACAACAGAAAGGGTTAAGATGGCACTTCATAGAATGCTATCGTAATGTAGAAGTTTGTGACAAAGCTGCTAATTTAAAAAAAACAAAACATTGTTATTGAGAAGAAACATAGACATGAAATTTCATAGAAAATGCTCAATGCATAATTAGAATATGAAATATAATATACAAATACTACTTTATAAAGTACTTTATAAATACTACTTTATAAAGTAAGCATTTTCCGCTCTTTTATATATATTTTATTTAAAGTTGCGTAGAAAAATAATTGCTCACCAAAATGATATAAAAATCATCATATTCTTGTGGTTTTCGAGAAATCAGAAATAGAGCAAAGAGCTACTTTCAGTCACCGAGAGTCATTCAAAATTTAAGGGGTTAACTGAATAAGATCTTATGTATGAAGTTTCGTTCACCTATCTGAAACGGTACTTATGTTGTCGGTATTGTAGAAACTGTATATCGAGTTTACTCAAAATTTGAAAGTATTCCAAGCCTAAGATCAAATTCTTATATTTGAAATTCAAATAGTGCTCGGGTTTTCGTGTTCCTAAGAAATAAAGTACCAATACGGGTTATAGGAAATCGCTCATAAATTGTGCATAGAATCTAATACTTCTATCTGTAAGTCGGCAGGTGTAAAACGAAGAAAACTGTCAAAATCTTGTTTAATTTTAGTGCACGATTACAATGAATAATCTATACTTTGCCTAGCAGAGAGCCAAAAAAAAGTTGCTATTCGAAACAAAAAGGTGCAGTCACAATCGAGATCTGTTTCCGATTTTCTACATTAATAATTGTTCTTAGCTGTTTAAGAAAACCTCTATACAATGTACAGTTGTACTATTTTATCAGCATGTATTTTCCTTGAGACGTGATGCTACAGTGCTCCAGGACCACAATTCTTGCTAGTCTGGTGCTACAGGACCACAATTCTTGCTAGTCTGGTGCTACAGGACCACAATTCTTGCTAGTCTGGTGCTACAGGACCACAATTCTTGCTAGTCTGGTGCTACAGGACCACAATTCTTGCTAGTCTGGTGCTACAGGACCACAATTCTTGCTAGTCTGGTGCTACAGGACCACAATTCTTGCTAGTCTGGTGCTACAGGACCACAATTCTTGCTAGTCTGGTGCTACAGGACCACAATTCTTGCTAGTCTGGTGCTACAGGACCACAATTCTTGCTAGTCTGGTGCTACATGACCACAATTCTTGCTAGTCTGGTGCTACAGGACCACAATTCTTGCTAGTCTGGTGCTACATGACCACAATTCTTGCTACTCTGGTGCTACAGGACCACAATTCTTGCTAGTCTGGTTATACATTTTTACCCTTCAATTGTTGTTAAAACACAAAGGTTTATACATAAGTTATCAATTGTTTAATCTCTGTTGTATTATCGCTTTAACTTTTAGGGTAATTTGAGTGAGTTCTGCTTGGCATGGTATAGAGCTCACACGGCGGAGGATTACGATAACAGAATGTTGCTGGGACTGGACTTCACGAGGAAAGAGCCAACATTGTTCTATCAGGAATTACTTTACGCTCAGTTCATGGGGGTTTGTGTTTATCAGGTGGTGCTAGACTGACTGCAACATGAGAGGTTGTGTTTGTCAGGTGGTGCTAGACTGACTGCAGCTTGTGTTTGTCAGGTGGTGCTAGACTGACTGCAACATGAGAGGTTGTGTTTGTCAGGTGGTGCTAGACTGACTGCAGCTTGTGTTTGTCAGGTGGTGCTAGACTGACTACAGCTTGTGTTTGTCAGGTGGTGCTAGACTGACTACAGCTTGTGTTTGTCAGGTGGTGCTAGACTGACTGCAGCTTGTGTTTGTCAGGTGGTGCTAGACTGACTGCAGCTTGTGTTTGTCAGGTGGTGCTAGACTGACTGCAACATGAGAGGTTGTGTTTGTCAGGTGGTGCTAGACTGACTGCAGCTTGTGTTTGTCAGGTGGTGCTAGACTGACTGCAGCTTGTGTTTGTCAGGTGGTGCTAGACTGACTGCAACATGAGAGGTTGTGTTTGTCAGGTGGTGCTAGACTGACTGCAGCTTGTGTTTGTCAGGTGGTGCTAGACTGACTGCAGCATGAGAGTTTGTATTTGTTGATTCATGTGTTTAGATGCAGATGTTGATTCATGTGTTTAGATCCAGATGTTGATTCATGTGCACAGATCCAGATGATGATGAACGCCCATGTCAAGACAGCCCTCGGCCCCGACTTCTCGGTGGAGGCTGGTCTGGAGTACGACGAGAACACTAATGACGTCATGAGGGGAAAAGTCCACGAGTTTCTCACATTGATGTGCATCAGCCTAGCCATGGCGCTGATTCCAGTTGGCTTTATCTACGTGCTGCTGTCTGAGAGGGCGGTAGGTCGTGCTAGCACTCAGCACTGTCGTCCTATGCAGTGTGCATATATATATATATATATATATATATATATATATATATATATATATATATATATATAATTATGTATGTATATATATTTACATTGATTTAACTTCAAAAAGCTTAGTATACATTTTAAAGTGTGACACTATCTGGGCGTGGTTCTGCCTCTGGACAGCGTTCTGATGGTTGTATCATTCCAGTGTTGTGATGGTTGTATCATTCCAGGTGTTCCTAATGCTTGTATCATTCCAGCGTTCTGATGCTTGTTTCAATCCAGTGTTCTGATGCTTGTATCATTCAAGTGTTCTGATGGTTGTATCATTCCAGTGTTCTGATGCTTGTATCATTCCAGTGTTCTGATGCTTGTATCATTCCAGTGTTCTGATGGTTGTATCATTCCAGTTTTCTGATGCTTGTATCATTCCAGTGTTCTGATGCTTGTATCATTCCAGTGTTCTGATGCTTGTATCATTCCAGTGCGGCGCTAAACACCTCCAGGCACTGAGCGGCGTCCACCCGTTCGCCTACTGGTTCGCGACCTTCGCCTTCGACTACATCTTCTACCTGCTTGTGAGCGGCGCCATGCTGGGAGTACTCAGCTACAAGTCAGAAGACTTCATCAAGGGAGACCGCTGGAGGCTCACGCTCATGATGTTTGCTGTCTTTGGACTGGCCATCTTCCCGTATCTGTACGCCCTACAGAATTTCTTCCAAAACCCGGCTTATGGGATCACAGTCCTTCTCATCATGAATATAATCATCGGTACATTCAATTCTTCTTCTCATCATGAATATAATCATCGGTACATTCAATTCTTCTTCTCATCTTAATGATTGGTACATCGCTCTCTCTTTTTTATAAAATTATTTATTAATTCACTATACATGTATCAGTGTAGCAAATAACAACTAAAATTGATGAATCAATTGTGATTTTGAACTATAAGTACCTTCAGCTAAGACTGCTTAATATTAAAATTTTTATAATGTTGTTGTTTTTTTAAATCTAAACTTTTCCATTCGTCCCAAAACATTTAAAAATCTAAACTTATCCATTCGTCCCCATACATTTAAAATTCTAACCCTTATCCATTCGTCCCCATACATTTAAATTTCTAACCCTTATCCATTCGTCCCCATACATTTAAAATTCTAACCTTTATCCCTTCGTCCCCATTCATTTAAAATTCTAACACTTATCCATTCGTCCCCAAACATTTAAAAATCTAAACTCATCAATTCGCCTCCCACCAATGTCATCCTTCCCCCTATATTGCCTGTGTACCTCAAGGAATGATCCTGGGCTCTGTGAACGGCGCAACTAAGCTGAGTAATCAAAACTTGACGGCCCTGTGGCAAATGGTGGACGACGTGGGTGTCGTCATCTCGCCCAACTACATTTTGTCGGGGGCTCTCATTAGCATGATCAAGGGGGATCAAAATATAAGGATAAATTTTCAGACAAGAGGTTGGTCTCAAGTGTGTTGGCGGGCTTGGCTCAGTCGAGTTAAGTTCAAAGTTCAGGTTGTATATATATATATATATATATATATATATATATATATATATATATATATATATATATATATATATATATATTTATAATTTATGTGGACACCACCACGTCGCAAGCCGACCATATCACTATCACCCCCAATTCGCACTAGTCTGGTGAGCTGTGGTTCGCGCCAAGTGTTTACAATCATAGAGCCGGGTCAAATTAGTGACGGTTATTACGGGCAGATAATTTAGTTTTTAAACGATTTGAAACTAAGGGGAGGTTACAAGTTATGCTTGATTTTTTTCATTTTCATCTGTAAACTGTCGTCACGGACGGGTGTTTTCATGGTGGCGGGTGGGGGGGGGGGGGGGAGGTAAGGGAGGAATAGGATAATCGTCCTTCACTAAACGGCGGCGATGCTACGCCGCGGGTCGGCTCGTGCATAATAAATATATAACAAGTAAACGTTTGTAACTTTAGTATAATTAAAAGCTTGTAAATTTTGATGTTTATAATTACGATGTATATTTATTTCCCATGATGTGTGTTATGTTTCTATACGACTGTATCCGTGCACTGACTTTATACAAATCTGAATCCCACCAGCTGAATCGGCTAAACACAACCAATTCGACTACCTATTCCATCGTGATGATGATTATCTGCGGGACGGCATGCAGCAACTCTTGATTCTCACAGCAATCTCCTGGCTCGTCGTGGCTTTCATAGACTACAAGCTCTACCGATTGATTCTGTACATGTTTCCTCTTGATACATTGTACACCTTTATCAGTATATATATATATATATATATATATATATATATATATATATATATATATATATATATATATATATATATATATATATATATATATATATACATATATATATATATATATATATATATATATATATATATATATATCTTGGAGGGCCATACAAATATCAGTCTCTATGTAGCCTATGTTGTAGAGCCATACAAATATTCTAACTGTATGTAAGGGGGATAGTCGGCGTTGCAGAGGTGGGTTGTTGGCGAAATGAAATCTTTGGTTATCGAAGGAGGAGGGACAAGACAAGGTTGGGAGGGTGAAACATGGTTGTTTGGAGGGGAAGACAGGGGGACAGTGAGAGGGTCATTCAAAGTAATTCAAACAGTTTTGGTAAAGTTGTATCGATCTGTGCATACGCAGAACGTTTTATTTTTTGGGGGGCGGAAGCTGAACTTGAGCCGAAAACAAGCAAATGTCGTTGTATCATTACACAGGTACAAGTTAGAGTGCCTGAATGTCAAGGTAGAATCGGATAGCTACAGATATAAGGAGGATGAAGACGTGGCTAAGGAAAGGAAGCGTATTACAGAAACTAATGAGCACAAGCTGTTTAAAACAGGTGTTGTAGAGTAGATGGACATAGAGGAGGGTAGATAGATAGACTGATGTCCAATTGCCAGGATAAGTCGAGGGAGCTAATGAGAGGATGGAGGATGGTATGAATAGTCTGATCGTAAAAATGGACAGACAAAACTGATGGTTGGTTGATTTGATTGTCGATCGAACGGAGAGACGGATAGGTGGATCGTTAGATGGATGGGTGGATCGTTAGATAGATGGATGGATCGTTAGATGGATGGATGGATCGTTAGTTGGATGGGTTGATCGTTTGACGGATGGATGGACCTCTAGACGGATATGTTGGTCTACTTTGATAGAAAATTGGATTGATGATTAGATGGTATATACGGACACGTCTGATGATCTTGACGGCTGAATGATTAAATAGCATCTTCCTGATGTCCTCATCAGATGCGATGGTGATGGTGGGTGTGAGCAAGAGATACTGCAGCAGCAAAACTGTGGCCGTGTACTCGACCAACCTTGGCGTGCAGGAGAAGGAATGCCTGGGTTTACTGGGGCAGAACGGAGCAGGAAAGACAACCATGTTCAAAATGTTGACTGGGGACATCGCGCTGTCCAATGGAGACGCTTACTTTAAGGGAGACAGCATCAAAACCAAGCTGAAAACAGTTAAGACCACTAGCAAAATGTGTTGTATTGTTGGCTCAGAGTGTTAAAGCCGTAATTTTATTTGTGTTATGCTTCAACATTTAAATTCCCATCTAATTTTTTATTTTTTTGAACTAGGTAAATGTTATAAATTAATTATTACATTTAATAACTGTTTGTATCTATTAGATGCAGGAAATTATGTGTAACTGCTTATATTATTTCCTGTACATTATGTCAAAATATAATGCTCGTAATGTTTCCGATGCATTCTATAATGAGTTACTGCCCTCAATGTTACAGTTCCAGTCTATGATGAGTTACTGCCCTTAATGTTACAGGTCCAGTGTATGATGAGTTACTGCCCTTAATGTTACAAGTCCAGGCTATGATGAGTTACTGCCCTTAATGTTACATGTCCAGTCTAAGATGAGTTACTGTCCTTAATGTTACAGGTCCAGTCTATGATGAGTTACTGCCCTTAATGTTACAGGTCCAGTCTATGATGAGTTACTGCCCTTAATGTTACAGGTCCAGTCTATGATGAGTTACTGCCCTTAATGTTACAGGTCCAGTCTATGATGAGTTACTGCCCTTAATGTTACAGGTCAAGTCTATGATGAGTTACTGCCCTTAATGTTACAGGTCCAGTCTATGATGTGTTACTGCCCTTAATGTTACAGGTCCAGTCTATGATGAGTTACTGCCCTTAATGTTACAGGTCCAGTCTATGATGTGTTACTGCCCTTAATGTTACAGGTCCAGTCTATGATGAGTTACTGCCCTTAATGTTACAGGTCCAGTCTATGATGAGTTACTGCCCTTAATGTTACAGGTCCAGTCTATGATGAGTTACTGCCCTTAATGTTACAGGTCCAGTCTATGATGAGTTACTGCCCCCAGTTTGACGCCCTCCATGACGTGTTGACAGGACGAGAGACCCTGTACCTGTACGGCAGGTTGAGGGGGGTGCGTGACTCGTGTCTGAAGGAAGTGACGAATATCGTCATCGACTTTGTCAACCTACGACCTCACGAGGACAAGTGCACTAAAACATACAGGTTGGCTTTTTATAACATGCACGTGTGTGGGCTCTCTCAACACAACTATATTGTTGTGCGTTGTGGAGTTTTACAATTTAGACGTGAAAGTTCTCGAACTGAGTTATATTCGTCGCAACTATTGAACTAACAAAATAATGATCTAAATATTCTTAGAATGTAAGCACTTTTAAAAGTAGAAAGTTATATTTGAAACCATGTTTTACAAATTTGAGATGGTAACCGTCCCCAGTGGCGGCAACAAGAAAAAGTTATCAGTGGGGATCTCCATCATCGGCGACCCCCAGTTCATCATGCTGGACGAGCCGACCGCTGGCATGGATCCAGTGTCCAGGAGAATTCTCTGGAAATGTCTGCACACGATTCGATCCATGGCAAAAACTCTAGTGCTGACGTCACACAGGTTCGCTACGTTATCCGGCTCTGTACGCACTGTTTGACCAAATCATGATTTTAGTATGACAATAGCATCATTATTTTATAAGACTTGCCACACCAACTCATACACATACAATAACCACACCATGTCATACACATGCAATAACCACACTAGGTCATATACATACAATAACCACACCTTGTTATACACATACAATAACCACACCTTGTTATACACATACAATAACCACACCATGCCATACACATACAATAACCACACTAGGTCATATACATACAATAACCACAATACCAACCAAACCTAGTCATTGAACTACACTATCTAAATTATGTCCTAAATTTAACGTTCGCTACAAAATTATCGCACACATATTTAACAGGATTAAATTGAATAAACCACGGGAGCGATTCTTGACAATATGAAAGTGTGTAAAAAACGGGACCCCCATTTGACAAAATTATAGTTTGTAAACAACGCGACCCCATTTGACAATACTAAAGTGTGTAAACAACGCCCCCCCCCCTCTGTTACTTCCAGCATGGAGGAATGTGAAGCGCTATGCACGAAGATCGCCATCTTCAAGAAAGGCCGGATGCTGTGTCTGGGCAGCCCGCAGCATCTGAAGAACAAATACGGCCAGGGCTACTCCGTCGTCCTACACATATCAGAGCAAGAGGACGGGACCCTACACCCCCTAGAGCCAGCGGTTAGCTTCGTATCCCAGGCCTTAGGCGATGTCAAGGTCTGTTTTATAGTGCTAGTCTCGCATTAGTCAAGGTCTGTTTTATACTGCTAGTCTCGCATTAGTCAAGGTCTGTTTTATAGTGCTAGTCTCGCATTAGTCAAGCTATTTTTTATAGTGCTAGTCTCGCATTAGTCAAGTTATGTTTTATAGTGCTAGTCTCGCATTAGTCAAGGTCTGTTTTATACTGCTAGTCTCGCATTAGTCAAGCTATATTTTATAGTGCTAGTCTCGCATTAGTCAAGGTCTGTTTTATAGTGCTAGTCTCGCATTAGTCAAGCTATTTTTTATAGTGCTAGTCTCGCATTAGTCAAGGTATGTTTTATAGTGCTAGTCTCGCATTAGTCAAGGTCTGTTTTATAGTGCTAGTTTTGCATTAGTCAATGTCTGTTTTATAGTGCTAGTCTCGCATTAGTCAAGGTCTGTTTTATAGTGCTAGTCTCGCATTAGTCAAGGTCCGTTTTATAGTGCTAGTCTCGCATTAGTCAAGCTATATTTTATAATGCTAATCTCGTATTAGTCAAGGTCTGTTTTATAGTGCTAGTCTCACATTAGTCAAGGTATGTTTTATAGTGCTAGTCTCGCATTAGTCAAGGTATGTTTTATAGCGCCATATAGACCGCAGACTCCTATTTCAGATTTCTTTTCTTCCTGGGTTTACTTCCATAGCATTAGCCCATTCAAGAACAAAATACAGAAGCTGTTAGATTTTGAAGTTTCCAAGTTGGGTTGCTATCCCCAGCTATCGAGCCACATTCTAACTCGAATTTTCTTTTCGGTTAAGCAACACGAGCTTTTAACTAGTGCGACCACGCCGTCCCCCGTACAACGACTGACCGAAGGACAGTCCAATGAGAACGGTATACTGACTGAAGGACAGTCCAATGAGAACGGTACACTGACTGAAGGACAGTCCAATGAGATCGGTACACTGACTGAAGGACAGTCCAATGAGAACGGTACACTGACTGAAGGACAGTCCAATGAGAACGGTATACTGACCGAATGACAGTCCAATGAGAACGGTACACTGACAGAAGGACAGTCCAATGAGAACGGTACACTGACTGAAGGACAGTCCAATGAGAACGGTATACTGATTTAAGTCCCAACTTTGCCCCCCTCAGGTGTTCAACACACAGCCAGCCTACTGCCACTTGCAGGTACCAGAGTCCACTCTACTCTCCACACTCTTTCAAGTCCTGATAGAGGCCAAGTCGACATTTTTTCTTAAACACTTCACAGTTCACCAGCAGAGCTTGGAGCAAGTATTTTTGTTGTTGATGAAGGAAGAAGAGTAAGACAATTATTTTTGTTGTTGATGAAGGAAGAAGAGTAAGACAATTATTTTTTGTTGTTGATGAAGGAAGAAGAGTAAGACAATTATTTTTGTTGTTGATGAAGGAAGAAGAGTAAGACAATTATTTTTGTTGTTGATGAAGGAAGAAGAGTAAGACAATTATTTTTGTTGTTGATGAAGGAAGAAGAGTAAGACAATTATTTTTGTTGTTGATGAAGGAAGAAGAGTAAGACAATTATTTTTTGTTGTTGATGAAGGAAGAAGAGTAAGACAATTATTTTTTGTTGTTGATGAAGGAAGAAGAGTAAGACAATTATTTTTGTTGTTGATGAAGGAAGAAGAGTAAGACAATTATTTTTTGTTGTTGATGAAGGAAGAAGAGTAAGACAATTATTTTTTGTTGTTGATGAAGGAAGAAGAGTTAAACAATTATTTTTGTTGTTGATGAAGGAAGAAGAGTAAGACAATTATTTTTGTTGTTGATGAAGGAAGAAGAGTTAGACAATTCTTTTTGTTGTTGATGAAGGAAGAAGAGTAAGACAATTCTTTTTGTTGTTGATGAAGGAAGAAGAGTAAGACAATTATTTTTGTTGTTGATGAAGGAAGAAGAGTTAGACAATTATTTTTGTTGTTGATGAAGGAACGTAGTATATATCGACTCGTACTTTTGTTGAAAAAAATAAAGTACATGTTAAGAATCGTAATTTGGCTTTCAGTATGGATAAATATAATTCTAAAAGAGATGGCGTTAGTTAGTTGACCTGTTATTTAAAATGCAAGAATAGCGTTGAATGTGTGTACTGTTTTCTAACTGAACTTTTGCATTTATTAGGGTACTCAACATGTAGAACATAAGTGTGTGTGTGCAGAGTTTCTTCCAGGCATCTCTTCGAGGGTGCTCCGCCCCCCCCCCCCCCGATGAAAGTCTACCGCCCCCCGAACGAGATGGAATTTATATAATAAACACATACTTTTACTAGTGTCCGCCCCCCCCCCCCCCAGAAAATGTTGACCGCCCCCCCCACCCCAAAATATCTAGTGCCCCCCGGAGAAAAAAGTCTGAAAGAAACACTGTGTGTGTGTGTGTGTCTTAGAGTGTTTAAAAATGTGAAATGATATTGTATGAGCTTGACATTACTGACAAGTTGAGTCCATGCTAACCAAGTCCAGGTGTGGATGGTTCAAGTCAAGTTCTTCACGCCAACAAGAATATCTTCACTTGCTTGCAACGATGTGCAGAAATTTCTACATACGTTTACATACGTACATACACATGCACAACACACACCATACACAACGCGAACACACATATAAACACACAACAAGCAAACACAAGCAAACATTCACAATTGCCCATAAAGCTGTAGATTAACATCTTTTATTTCTCTTTCGCCCTAAAATATATTTCTAAATTTTAATACAAAACTAAAAGAAACGCAAGATATCACAATCTGAAATAGTTGAACACATTTCATTTTCGTAAGATATAACGTGCATCAACAATGCGAAATTACATATTTCATGTTCATCTCAACGCAAGAAGTTCATATTATTGAAGACACAACTTGACTCCTGATTCATTAGGTCTTATATGTTGATGAAATACAGTAGGCAGCTTGTAGGTAGCGAACCAAGTCAATGACATAGGTGAACCAGCTGGATGTATCACGGCAAACATTTTTAGTCTTGATAATGTAAGACTAAAAACTGTTCGTAACATTTTAGTCTTGATAATGTAAGACTACAAACTGTTCGTAAAATTTTAGTCTTGATAATGTAAGACTAAAAACTGTTCTAAACATTTTTAGTCTTGATAATGTAAGACTACAAACTGTTCTAAATGATTTTACTCTTGATAATGTAAGACTAGAAACAGATCGTAACATTTTAGTCTTGATAATGTAAGACTAAAAACTGTTCTAAACATTTTTAGTCTTGATAATGTAAGACAAAAAACTATTCTAAACATTTTTAGTCTTAATAATGTAAGACAAAAGACTGTTCTAAACATTTTTAGTCTTGATAATGTAAGACACAATAAACTGTTCTAAACATTTTTAGTCTTGATAATGTAAGACTAAAAATTATTCTAAACATTTTTAGTCTTGATAATGTAAGACTAAAAATTATTCTAAACATTTTTAGTCTTGATAATGTAAGACTAAAAACTGTTCTAAACATTTTAGTATTGATAATGTAAGAAAAAAAAGGTTCTAAATGATTTTAGTCTTGATAATGTAAGACAAAAACTGTTCTAAACATTTTTAGTCTTGATAATATAAGACTAAAAACTGTTCTAAATGATTATAGTCTTGATAATGTAAGACTAAAAATTATTCTAAATGATTTTAGTCTTGATAATGTAAGACTAAAAACTATTCTAAACATTTTTAGTCTTGATAATGTAAGACTAAAAACTGTTCTAAACATTTTAGTCTTGATAATGTAAGACTAAAAACTGTTCTAAATGATTTTAGTCTTGATAATGTAAGACTAAAAACTGTTCTAAAGGATTTTAGTCTTGATAATTTAACAACAAAAAAAAACTGTTCTAAACATTTTTATTCTTGATAATGTAAGACAAAAAAAACTGTTCTAAATTATTTTAGTCTTGATAATGTAAGACTAAAAACTGTTCTAAATTATTTTAGTCTTGATAATTTAGCAACAAAATAAGCTATTCCATACGTTTTTAGTCTTGATGCATTAGAAGCAAAAATACTTGCTCTAAACTTTTTTGCTGTACGAGGAAATGTCTCAGAAAAAATGTCGTTTTTGCTTCCACCAGTATTTTAAATATTTCTGACAAGGGTGTGACCTCTGACACCTGCATGTGGCAGTAGTAAGGTGTGTTGTCAAATACCTGTAGGTAAACAATAATCATACATAGTTAGATAGTAAACAATAATCATACATCGTTAGGTGGTAAACAATAATCATACATCGATAGATGGTAAACGATAATCGTACATTATTAGGTGGTAAACAATAATCATACAGCGTTAGATGGTAAACAATAATCATACATCGTTAGATGGTAAACGATAATCGTACATTATTAGGTGGTAAACAATAATCATACATCGTTAGATGGTAAACAATAATCATACATCATTAGGGGTTAACGATAATCTTACATCATTAGGGGGTAAACGATAATCATACATCATTACGAGGTAAACAATTAGCATACATCATTAGGGGGTAAACAATAATCATACATCGTTAGGTGGTAAACAATAATCTTACATCATTAGGGGGTAAACAATAATCATACATCATTAGGGAGTAAACAATAATCATACATCGTTAGGTGGTAAACAATAATCATACATCGTTAGGTGGTAAACAATAATCTTACATCATTAGGTGGTAAACAATAATCATACATCATTAGGGAGTAAACAATAATCATACATCGTTAGGTGGTAAACAATAATCTTACATCATTAGGTGGTAAACAATAATCATACATCGTTAGGTGATAAACAATAATTATACATCATTAGGGGTAAACGATAATCTTACATAATTAGATGGTTGTAACGGACACCAATCTATCAGCCAGATAGATGGCGAACGCTCCCGGATTCGTTTAACTGATTACACACAGATGGCGATAAGCCTAAATAAAAGAAAATTGACTCACTAGTTCGCTAGGACTCGTAATTGATGTCTAGGGGAAACACTAGAGAAACTAATGATGCCAACAAAACTTTTAATCTGCATATAACTTGTAATGAGTGTACAAAGTCGTGGCAGAACACTAGATTTATACAAGAATAAAATAGATATACAGAATGATCAAAACCCAACTTACAATTCGTGGGAATAAATAGTATGATACACTATCACAGCTTTTAACACTTCAGGAAAATCACCACTGTATAAATAACACTGCTATAAGCATAAAGAATTACTTATTCACAAGTAATATAACAACTTAATACTGCACGGCGACACACAGGGCTTATCTCTATTCAACGACGTCTGACCAAAGACTGCCTCGAGACACATGTGGGCGATCTATTTATAGACTTAGGTAACATGGAAGGTCACCTTCAAATCATAAGACCATTGGTTGGGGTGGTCATCTGGTCTGAAACAATCAATCATCTCTCGATGGAAAATTTCTGAGTCTAAGACTCTCTTAGTAAGACAGCGGAAAAAAACCGATCATTGCACCACAGACCATATATGGTATTATAACAAATGTCAAACTAAAAATAAAACATTACTAGACCTAAGTAGGTCACATGGTAAACAATAATCATACATCCTTAGGGGGTAAACAATAATCATACATCGTTAGGTGGTAAACATTAATCTTACATCGTTAGGGGGTAATCAATAATCTTACATCATTAGGTGGTAAACAATAATCATACATCGTTAGTTGGTAAACATTAATCTTACATCGTTAGGGGGTAATCAATAATCTTACATCATTAGGTGGTAAACAATAATCATACACAGTGAGAGCTTAGATTAGGAGAGCATCGCACAAGCGCTACAGAACAAAATGATAAGCTTACTACAAATGTATTTACGGTCTATCACCATAGTACCGGTATCACCACCGTGCCGGTATCACCACAGTGTCGGTATCACCACAGTGTCGGTATCACCACCGTGTCGGTATCACCACCGTGTCGGTATCACCACCGTGTCGGTATCACCACCGTGTCGGTGTCACCACAGTACCGCTATCATCAGCTGACGAGCACTTGCAGACAACGACAAGGACAATGACAAGGACAACGACAAGGACAACGACAAGGGCAATGACAAGGACAACGACAATGACAACGACAAGGACAACGACAAGGACAATGACAAGGACAACGACAATGACAAGGACAACGACAATGACAACGACAATGACAAGGACAATGACAAGGACAACGACAATGACAAGGACAACGACAATGACAAGGACAACGACAATGACAACGACAAGGACAACGACAAGGACAATGACAAGGACAACGACAATGACAAGGACAATGACAAGGACAACGACAATGACAAGGACAACGACAAGGACAATGACAAGGACAACGACAATTACAACGACAAGGACAACGACAAGGACAATGACAAGGACAACGACAAGGAAAACGACAAGGACAACGACAACGACAAGGACAACGAGTCTTACATTGACACCGGGGATTTTCTCTGATATAAATTCTACGGCGGGTTGCAGTGGGTGCAGCGTCCCGTCCGGTTTTTCTGATGCCTGTAGCAGAACTGAAAAGCCCTTGCCGAACTTGGTCTTCAAGTGCTGGGGGCTGCCGAGACAGAGCATCTTTCCCTTCTTGAAGATGGCGAATCTTGTACAGAGAGCCTCACACTCCTCCATGCTGGAGATTGTATAAGACAGTCGTGTATATACAGTCGTGTCTAAGACAAAGACACGACTGTATATGGCGGTATGGTAAATGACATAGACACGACTGTATATGGCGGTATGGTAAATGACATAGACACGACTGTATATGGCGGTATAGTAAATGACATGAAGATTAAAACAGTGCTGTGTGCATGCTGTTCTCGAACCTGTGTGACGTCAGCACTAGAGTTTTTGCCAGGGATCGAATGACCTGCAGACAGTTCCACAAAATTCTGCGACAGACCGGGTCCACCCCAGCGGTCGGCTCGTCCAGCATGATGAACTGCGGGTCGCCGATGATGGAGATCCCCACTGATAGCTTCCTCTTGTTGCCGCCACTGGAGGGATATACAGAATAATAACTTTAAGTTGATATAAGATATTCAATGTAGACATTTAGTTTTTAAATACAGAATAATAACTTTAAGTTGATAGAAGATATTCAAAGTAGACATTTAGTTTTTAAATACAGAATAATAACTTTAAGTTGATATAAGATATTCAAAGTAGACATTTAGTTTTTAAATACAGAATAATAACTTTAAGTTGATATAAGATATTCAAAGTAGACATTTAGTTTTTAAATACAGAATAATAACTTTAAGTTGATATAAGATATTCAAAGTAGACATTTAGTTTTTAAATACAGAATAATAACTTTAAGTTGATATAAGATATTCAAAGTAGACATTTATTTTTTAAATACAGAATAATAACTTTAAGTTGATATAAGATATTCAAAGTAGACATTTATTTTTTAAATACAGAATAATAACTTTAAGTTGATATAAGATATTCAAAGTAGACATTTAGTTTTTAAATACTAAATTAAAAACTTCTTCATAATGAAAGTAGAGTTTCAAAGAAAATACATGTCTTTATTATTATATTTTAAGAATATAAAAAAAATTAAAGCCAACAAAAAATGTAATTTTGTGCATTTTGTACTAAATAGAATCCCCATAAGGATTTTTAACTTAAATTGGTATGGTGAGAGTTCAAGAGCATTCCCAAACTGTATTAAAATCCCACCCAAATTGTACATTTTGAAAACCTACCCCAAACTGTATGAAAAAACCTATTTAAAAAATTCCATTAGTGACATTATATAAGTACCACTGTTCCTACCTGTATGTTATAGCGACCTACACAACTTGCGCAAAACTTTCCCACCTGTATTTTATACAAACCTCCACATAAGTATTATAAGAAACCGCATATCGGTATTTTATAAGAAACCCCCTATATCTGTATGTTGTAAGAAACTCCCCATATGTGTATGTTTTAAGAAACTCCCCTATGTGTATGTTGTAAGAAACTCCCCATATCTGTATGTTTTAAGAAACTCCCCATATGTTTATGTTGTAAGAAACTCCCTATATCTGTGTGTTGCTATGTTGACAGATCTGTCCAAACGTTTGTAAAATTAATTTGAGACTCCTCCAACTGTATGTTGTTATGTTGACAGATCTGTCCAAAGGTGGCAGAGCAAATGATCCCAGACAAAATATCTCAAGTACAAATTATCCCCAGGACAAGATATCTCAGAGCATAATATATTATGGGCAAAACATTATGCAACAATGTTTTCAGATAAAATATCCCAAAGTATGGAACCGCCCCCCCCACTCCCTCCCACACTCCACACTCCCCCCCCCAACACTCCACACTCCCCCCCCCCCCCCACACTCCCCCACCTGTATGCAACAGTGCACTTATACTCGTGAGGCCGTAATGCGACAAAGTCGATGAGAAATTCCGTCAGATCAGACAGACAATGTTCTCGGACCCCCCTCAACCTGCCGTACAGGTACAGGGTCTCTCGTCCAGTTAGCTCGTCATGGAGGGCGTCAAACTGGGGGACGTAACTCATCGTAGACTGGACCTGTAACATTAAGGGCAGTAACTCATCATAGTCTGGACCTATAACATTAAGGGCAGTAACTCATCATAGACTGGACCTGTAACATTAAGGGCAGTAACTCATCATAGACTAGACCTGTAACATTAAGGGCAGTAACTCATCATAGACTGGACCTGTAACATTAAGGGCAGTAACTCATCATAGACTGGACCTGTAACATTAAGGGCAGTAACTCATCATAGACTGGACCTGTAACATTAAGGGCAGTAACTCATTATAGACTGGACCTGTAACATTAAGGGCAGTAACTCATCATAGACTGGACCTGTAACATTAAGGGCAGTAACTCATCATAGACTGGACCTGTAACATTAAGGGCAGTAACTCATCATAGATTTATTAAAACATCCCCGAAGAAACACTCTCCCTCACTTTTCTCAGATGGGTTTTGATGTTTTTCCCCTTGAAATAAGCGTCTCCATTAGACATCGCGATGTCCCCAGTCAACATTTTGAACGTGGTTGTCTTTCCTGCTCCGTTCTGCCCCAGTAAGCCCAGGCATTCCTTCTCCTTGACGCCCAGGCAGGTCTTGTACACTGCCACCTCGGGTCGACTGAAATATTTCTTGCTCACGTTCACCAGAAGCATAGCATCTAGGCGAGAAATAGTTGAGCATTCTACATCAAATTCACAAATGTGATGTCATTCCATCCATCCATCCATCCATCCATCCATCCATCCATCCATCCATCCATCCATCCATCCATCCATCCATCCATCCATCCATCCATCCATCCATCCATCCATCCATCCATCCATCCATCCATCCATCCATCCATCCATCCATCCATCCATCCATCCATCCATCCATCCATCCATCCATCCATCCATCCATCCATCCATCCATCCATCCATCCATCCATCCATCCATCCATCCATCCATCCATCCATCCATCCATCCATCCATCCATCCATCCATCCATCCGTCTATCCGTCAATCCACCCATCCGTTCATTTAGCCATCATACACTACCTGTATCAAACAGGCTTTGCTTATCCGTTTGAAGGTTACGTCGTCTTTCTTCAATAACGTCATCATCTTCTTTAGTTTTTACTTCATCTAACCCTTCCTTGACATTGAGACATTTCGTTTTATATCTAAAATAAGACATTTTTTTTTTCTTGTGCGAAGAGTAACATGATTTTTAATAGTTGTTCACAAATGTGTAACAGCGAACAGGAATGAAAAAATCAATTATTTACATTTTATCGCAACTGAAAATTTATATTTTAGCAGATAGACGGTTTTTATATTATTTTACTGTATATTGGGTAGCTACAGTGGCGTAGCGAGGTCGGGTGTGACCCGGTGCGGCACTTAATGGTGACACCCCCCAGAGTCGTAGCAACCCTTCCCGAGGTAAAATCCATAAAGTCCATAAAACAACAACTGTACCCTATAACCTGTACATATTGTAGTCCATAAAACAACAACTGTACCCTATAACCTGTAAATCTTGTAGTCCATAAAACAACAACTGTACCCTATAACCTGTAAATCTTGTAGTCCATAAAACAACAACTGTACCCTATAACCTGTAAATCTTGTAGTCCATAAAACAACAACTGTACTCTATAACCCTGTACATATTGTAGTCCATAAAACAACAACTGTACCCTATAACCCTGTACATATTGTAGTCCATAAAACAACAACTGTACCCTATAACCCTGTACATCTTGTAGTCCATAAAACAACAACTGTACCCTATAACCCTGTACATCGTGTAGTCCATAAAACAACAACTGTACCCTATAACCTGTACATCTTGTAGTCCATAAAACAACAACTGTACCCTATAACCCTGTACATCGTGTAGTCCATAAAACAACAACTGTACCCTATAATCTGTACATTTTGTAGTCCATAAAACAACAAATGTACCCTATAACCTGTAAATCTTGTAGTCCATAAAACAACAACTGTACCCTATAACCTGTAAATCTTGAAGTCCATAAAACAACAACTGTACCCTATAACCTGTAAATCTTGTAGTCCATAAAACAACAACTGTACCCTATAACCTGTAAATCTTGTAGTCCATAAAACAACAACTGTACCCTATAACCTGTAAATCTTGTAGTCCATAAAACAACTGTACCCTATAACCTGTAAATCTTGTAGTCCATAAAACAACAACTGTACCCTATAACCCTGTACATCTTGTAGTCCATAAAACAACAACTGTACCCTATAACCCTGTACATCGTGTAGTCCATAAAACAACAACTGTACCCTATAACCTGTACATCTTGTAGTCCATAAAACAACAACTGTACCCTATAACCCTGTACATCGTGTAGTCCATAAAACAACAACTGTACCCTATAACCTGTACATCTTGTAGTCCATAAAACAACAACTGTACCCTATAACCCTGTACATCGTGTAGTCCATAAAACAACAACTGTACCCTATAACCTGTACATCTTGTAGTCCATAAAACAACAAATGTACCCTATAACCTGTAAATCTTGTAGTCCATAAAACAACAACTGTACCCTATAACCTGTAAATCTTGTAGTCCATAAAACAACAACTGTACCCTATAACCTGTAAATCTTGTAGTCCATAAAACAACAACTGTACCCTATAACCTGTAAATCTTGTAGTCCATAAAACAACAACTGTACTCTATCACCCTGTACATATTGTAGTCCATAAAACAACAACTGTACCCTATAACCCTGTACATATTGTAGTCCATAAAACAACAACTGTACCCTATAACCCTGTACATATTGTAGTCCATAAAACAACAACTGTACCCTATAACCCTGTACATCGTGTAGTCCATAAAACAACAACTGTACCCTATAACCTGTACATCTTGTAGTCCATAAAACAACAACTGTACCCTATAACCCTGTACATCGTGTAGTCCATAAAACAACAACTGTACCCTATAACCTGTACATCTTGTAGTCCATAAAACAACAACTGTACCCTATAACCCTGTACATCGTGTAGTCCATAAAACAACAACTGTACCCTATAACCTGTACATCTTGTAGTCCATAAAACAACAACTGTACCCTATAACCTGTAAATCTTGTAGTCCATAAAACAACTGTACCCTATAACCTGTAAATCTTGTAGTCCATAAAACAACAACTGTACCCTATAACCTGTAAATCTTGTAGTCCATAAAACAACAACTGTACCCTATAACCCTGTACATCTTGTAGTCCATAAAACAACAACTGTACCCTATAACCCTGTACATCTTGTAGTCCATAAAACAACAACTGTACCCTATAACCCTGTACATCTTGTAGTCCATGAAAAGAACCAAGAACCACGAAGCCACGGCCAAGAACAAGAGCTTGTAGGCACTGTCGGCCATGTACGAATCGTCTCGCTTGAACAAGTAATCAAACTTGTTCCGTTCTTCGGGTGTGTCTGTTGGATGGGGTGTAAATTAGCAACGGTTGTCAAGGTAACACAAACTATGATTGCTTACAATATGTAAAAACTTTGGAGGGCAACGGAAATAATGTGTGCTGTGAAGTACCAGGCCTCCAGTGATCATTTCATTCATTTTTTAAAAAAAGCATTTTGTTTATCTTTACGCTCATTCCATAAACACAGAAAACTCACAAACTCGCCAGAATATTATCACACTGCACACACAACACACCTTTAAGGGATACCCAAGTCTCTTTCAAGTCGGTTGTGATCACACACACACACACAACACACTTCTAAATGACACACCTAACTTCTCGTCAAAGAGGGTTTATGATCTCTCTCTCTCTCACACACACACACAACACACCTTTAACTGACACGCCCAACTTCTCGTCGAAGAGTGTTTACGATCTCTCTCTCTCACACACACACACAACACACCTTTAACTGACACGCCCAACTTCTCGTCGAGTGTGTTTACGATCTCTCTCTCTCTCTCTCTCTCTCACACACACACACAACACACCTTTAACTGACACGCCCAACTTCTCGTCGAAGTGTGTTTCCTTGAGCATGATGACCATGGCCCCCGCCAGTACGTAGTTGGGCGAGAGAAAGCTGCATGCCTTGTCCACCACATCCCAGAAGCCGGTCATCTTCTCCCCTTCCAGTTTGTTGTCCGCGTTGATTGAACCCAGCACCATTCCTGGGAGAACACAAACGGTAACAAACCACACTATTCATTCAAACGGTAACAAACCACACTATTCATTCTAACGGTAACAAACCACACTATTCATTCAAAAGGTAACAAACCACACTATTCATTCAAACGGTAACAAACCACACTATTTATTCAAACGGTAACAAACCACACTATTCATTCAAAAGGTAACAAACCACACTATTCATTCAAACGGTAACAAACCACACAATTCATTCAAACGGTAACAAACCACACTATTCATTCAAACGGTAACAAACCACACTATTCATTCAAACGGTAACAAACCACACAATTCATTCAAACGGTAACAAACCACACTATTCATTCAAACGGTAACAAACCACACTATTCATTCAAACGGTAACAAACCACACTATTCATTCAAACGGTAACAAACCACACTATTTATTCAAAAGGTAACAAAACTGTAAACACTGTAACAAGATATGTGTAAAACTAATTCTAGAGTAGAACAATTGCAGTTAAATGTGATACTATTTATTTAGTTTCAAGTAAGTAAATTAATATCAAGCTTTAAAAAGTACGCATGTACTAATAAATGATGTTCATATTGAGAAGAACGAGATGAGAAGAACGGTTTATGTACCAATAATGATGTTCATGATAAGAAGAACGGTTTATGTACCAATAATGATGTTCATGATAAGGAGAGCGGTTTATGTACCAATAATGATGTTCATGATAAGAAAAACGGTTTATGTACCAATAATGATGTTCATGATAAGAAGAACGGTTTATGTACCAATAATGATGTTCATGATAAGGAGTGCGGTTTATGTACCAATAATGATGTTCATGATAAGAAAAACTGTTTATGTACCAATAATGATGTTAATGATAAGGAGAGCGGTTTATGTACCAATAATGATGTTCATGATAAGAAGAACGGTTTATGTACCAATAATGATGTTCATGATAAGGAGAACTGTTATGCCAGCCACGGGACTGTGGAAGAAATTCTGCAGGGCGTACAGGTACGGGATTGTCGCCAGCCCAAAGACAACAAACATCGTGAAGGTGTTTAGCGCCGCACTGGAATGATACAAGCATCAGAACACTGGAATGATACAACCATCAGAACACTGGAATGATACAAGCATCAGAACACTGGAATGATACAAGCATCACAACACTGGAATGATACAAGCATCAGAACACTGGAATGATACAAGCATCAGAACACTGGAATGATACAAGCATCACAACACTGGAATGATACAAGCATCAGAACACTGGAATGATACAAGCATCAGAACACTGGAATGATACAAGCATCAGAACACTGGAATGATACAACCATCAGAACACTGGAATGATAAACCATCAGAACACTGGAATGATACAAGCATCAGAACACTGGAATGATACAAGCATCTGAACACTGGAAGGATACAACCATCAGAACACTGGAATGATAAACCATCAGAACACTGGAATGATACAAGCATCAGAACACTGGAATGATACAACCATCTGAACACTGGAATGATACAAGCATCAGAACACTGGAATGATACAACCATTAGAACACTGGAATGAACCAAATATCAGAACACTTGAATGATACAACCATCAGAACACTTGAATGATACAACCATCAGAACACTGGAATGATACAAGCATCAGAACACTGGAATGATACAAGCATCTGAACACTGGAATGATACAAGCATCAGAACACTGGAATGATACAACCATTAGAACACTGGAATGAACCAAATATCAGAACACTGGAATGATACAACCATCAGAACACTGGAATGATACAAGCATCAGAACACTGGAATGATACAAGCATCAGAACACTTGAATGATACAAGCATCAGAACACTGGAATGATACAACCATCAGAACACTGGAATGATACAACCATCAGAACACTGGAATGATACAACCATCACAACACTAGGAATGATACAAGCATCAGAACACTGGAATGATACAACCATCAGAACGCTGGAATGATACAAGCATCAGAACACTGGAATGATACAACCATCAGAACACTGGAATGATACAACCATCAGAAAACTGGAATGATACAACCATCAGAACACTGGAGTGATACAAGAATCAGAACACTGGAATGATACAACCATCAGAACACTGGAATGATACAAGAATCAGAACACTGGAATGATACAAGCATCAAAACACTGGAATGATACAACCATCAGAACACTGGAATGATACAAACATAAGAACACTGGAATGATACAAGCATCAAACACTGGAATGATACAAACATCAGAACACTGGAATGATACAACCATCAGAACACTGGAATGATACAAGAATCAGAACACTGGAATGATACAAGCATCTGAACACTGGAATGATACAAGCATCAGAACACTGGAATGATACAAACATCAGAACACTGGAATGATACAATCATCAGAACACTGGAATGATACAACCATCAGAACACTGGAATGATACAACCATCTGAACACTGGAATGATACAAGCATCAGAACACTGGAATGATACAACCATCAGAACACTGGAATGATACAACCATCAGAACACTGGAATGATACAACCATCAGAACACTGGAATGATACAACCATCAGAACACTGGAATGATACAAGCATCAGAACACTGGAATGATACAACCATCAGAACACTGGAATGATACAAGCATCAGAACACTGGAATGATACAAGCATCAGAACACTGGAATGATACAAGCATCAGAACACTGGAATGATACACGCATCAGAACACTGGAATGATACAACCATCAGAACACTGGAATGATACAACCATCAGAACACTGAAATGATACAACCATCAGAACACTGGAATGATGTCAATGTGATGTAACCGTAGTCAATATGTTGTAAGATTAGTCAATGTGATGTAACCGTAGTCAATGTGATGTAACCGTAGTCAATGTGATGTAACCGTAGTCAATATGTTGTAAGATTAGTCAATGTGATGTAACCGTAGTCAGTGTGATGTAACCACCTCTATATCTCAACTAAAACAAATACTCATAAAACAATTGTATGTCAGTTTTAAACAAGACTCATACATTTGGTTCCCATTAGAGTTAACGCCATTCATTTACTACGATATTTATTAAAGAAAAGTTTTCCGGGTTAGATAGCAGGACATTTCCAGGTTAGATAGTAGGACATGGTCAAATTTGAAAGCAGGACATGGGCATTTTAGATAGCAGGCCACTTCCTGATTAGTACATGGCCTGATGAGTGCATGGCCTGATGAGTGCATGGCCTGATGAGTGCTAGCACGACCTACCGCTCTCTCAGACAGCAGCACGTAGATAAAGCCCACTGGAATCAGCGCCATGGCTAGACTGATGCTCATCAGGGTCAGAAACTCGAACACACGTCGACGGTTGAGAATCTTGTTGCTCTCATATTGCAGTCCCGCCTCCATCGAGAAGTCTTGGCCTAGAGCATTCTTGATGTGAGCGTTCATCAACATCTGCATCTAAACACATGGATCAACATTTGGGTCTAAACACATGGATCAACATTTGGGTCTAAACACATGGATCAACATTTGGGTCTAAACACATGGATCAACATTTGGGTCTAAACACATGGATCAACATTTGGGTCTAAACACATGGATTATCATTTGGGTCTAAACACATGGATCAACATTTGGGTCTAAACACATGGATCAACATTTGGGTCTAAACACATGGATTAACATTTGGGTCTAAACACATGGATCAACATCTGCATCTAAACACATGGATCAACATTTGGGTCTAAACACATGGATCAACATTTGGGTCTAAACACATGGATCAACATTTGGGTCTAAACACATGGATTAACATTTGGGTCTAAACACATGGATCAACATTTGGGTCTAAACACATGGATCAACATCTGGATCTAAACACATGAATCAACATCTGGATCTAAACACATGAATCAACATCTGGATCTAAACACATGAATCAACATTTGGATCTAAATACACGAATCAACTTCTCGATCTAAACACATGAATCAACCTGAACACTAAGGTTTGACAGAAAAATAACTATTGTTTGGGTCATGTCTACGCCAACAAAACGTGCGACATTTTGCTACGGATGTGTGTTATTGCTCTTTCCTAGTGTGGTAGGATTGTCTCAAGATCAACAAGCCCACCTACACTGTCTATCAAAAATTGGTTTCAAAATTGGAATATTATATTACATTTTAAAAGGCTAAAGGAAATGAGAGAACCCCATGCGACAAACCTTTTCCCACAATTATTGTGGGTTGGATAAAATATAAATAAAGCTCATGTGACACTCAGTGAATATGTTACGGACAAAGCCCGAAGTCGGCCAATGTACGCATTAGCCAACTTCGGGCTTTGTCCGTAACACACACACATATATATATATATATATATATATATATATATATATATATATATATATATATATATATATATATATATATATATATATATATATATATATATATATATATATATATATATATATATATACATACATATAAGAAAAATCCCCCATAATGAAATATTTCTGAAGTCATTGTATACATTTACAACACACAATCAACAATTTTTGTTGTTGACGTGAACACGATCAGACCTACCCCCGTCAGTGTCGAGTGTAGGGAATTGATCTGGTAGAAAAGCGTGTTCTCGTTAAAGTCCACCCAAACACCATCTTGTTATCGTACTCCTCCTTGGTGTGACGTCTCGCCCAGTCCTGGCAGTACTCCTCCATCATGCGCTTAAACACATTCAACAAAAAGTTAGGCTTAAACACATTCAACAAAAAGTTAGGCTTAAACACATTTCAATGAATTGTTAGGCTTAAACAACTTCAACAAAAAGTTAGGCTTTAACACATTCAACAAAAAGTTAGGCTTAAACACATTTCAACAAAAAGTTAGGCTTAAACACATTCAAAGTTAGGCTGTCAAGCGGTTACTCGTTTCATCGACATTCATTTAAGCGTTGGTGTCAAGTTGGTCAAACAGTGGCACCAGAGATGGGTGGACCAGGTGTTTCAGGAAACTGGGTGGACCAGGTGTTTCAGGAAACTGGGTGGACCAGGTGTTTCAGGAAACTGGGTGGACCAGGTGTTTCAGGAAACTGGGTGGACCAGGTGTTTCAGGAAACTGGGTGGACCAGGTGTTTCAGGAAACTGGGTGGACCAGGTGTTTCAGGAAACTGGGTGGACCAGGTGTTTCAGGAAACTGGGTGGACCAGGTGTTTCAGGAAACTGGGTGGACCAGGTGTTTCAGGAAACTGGGTGGACCAGGTGTTTCAGGAAACTGGGTGGACCAGGTGTTTCAGGAAACTGGGTGGACCAGGTGTTTCAGGAAACTGGGTGGACCAGGTGTTTCAGGAAACTGGGTGGACCAGGTGTTTCAGGAAACTGGGTGGACCAGGTGTTTCAGGAAACTGGGTGGACCAGGTGTTTCAGGAAACTGGGTGGACCAGGTGTTTCAGGAAACTGGGTGGACCAGGTGTTTCAGGAAACTGGGTGGACCAGGTGTTTCAGGAAACTGGGTGGACCAGGTGTTTCAGGAAACTGGGTGGACCAGGTGTTTCAGGAAACTGGGTGGACCAGGTGTTTCAGGAAACTGGGTGGACCAGGTGTTTCTGGAAACTGGGTGGACCAGGTGTTTCAGGAAACTGGGTGGACCAGGTGTTTCAGGAAACTGGGTGGACCAGGTGTTTCAGGAAACTGGGTGGACCAGGTGTTTCAGGAAACTGGGTGGACCAGGTGTTTCAGGAAACTGGGTGGACCAGGTGTTTCAGGAAACTGGGTGGACCAGGTGTTTCAGGAAACTGGGTGGACCAGGTGTTTCAGGAAACTGGGTGGACCAGGTGTTTCAGGAAACTGGGTGGACCAGGTGTTTCAGGAAACTGGGTGGACCAGGTGTTTCAGGAAACTGGGTGGACCAGGTGTTTCAGGAAACTGGGTCGACCAGGTGTTTCAGGAAACTGGGTGGACCAGGTGTTTCAGGAAACTGGGTGGACCAGGTGTTTCAGGAAA